TCAACATTAAAAATTTATTTTCAATTTTATATAAAATGCAGAAAAAACTTTAAATATAATTAATTGCGTCCTTTTAAGACTTAACGATTTTTAAAAAAATAATTTTAAAAAATATATTTTTATAAGTTCAATACTGATACAATTATGTTTATGTTACTTTAACAAAATGTTTGCAATTTTTTGTATAGAAACATAATTACAAACAAGATCCAAACTTCACAAATATTTTTCTTTAAATTAAAATTTTAATTTGTTAAAGCAAAAAGGTTTTAAAAACTTATACATTGACAGCAAAGAATCTAAAACGAATTCCGAACATAAAATATTGGCTTATATTTTCAAAGTTAAAATTTCAATTTTTAAGTAAAAATAATTAAGGCATTACTTAAAAACTTCGACTTTTATATTTTTCGAAGAATTTTTATATTAAAATCTGGTTTTATGTTACCATCTGGTTGTAAAGATTTTAAAACTATTGCAGTTAATAACAAGTAGAAAGAGCTAAGTACGGGTGTAACTGAACAGGGAAAATACCTTCAGGAGTTAGAAAAACTTTATATTAAACAAGAAAAAAACGTTAACTTCGGTTACACCGAATCTATAATACCCTACGCAGATACAAAGATTCCTTATAATAACTTGATTCCGATCTAATTTTGTGAAGATGCCTCTTCAAATGAAAAAGTTTTTCATGCAAACACTTGATTCCGATCGTTCAGTTAATATGGCAGCTATATACTATAGTATGATCCGATATCGGCCGTTCAGAGAAATGAGCAGCTTGTTAGTGCGAAAAGGACAGGTGCAATATTTTAGATCGATAGCTTAAAAACTGAGGAATTAGTTTGCAGGGTATAAAAATGTTGCGAAACAAATCATCATTCATTATTCGATGCAATTGTAAATGGATTACAATCAAATTTGATATATTATTAAGTTATATTATAGGTCACAGACTCACTTAGTTTTATTATTATATTTTACTCCGCATCAGCTAAAATTGAGATATAAACTCAAGTGAAGAAGCTAAATTTAATATAATGGGTTAATGCAAAAACGTCAAGCAGAGGTTCGTAATTCCTTATTTTAAGGATTTACGGTTTAGACCAAACATCTACACCTATTTCATTCATAATTCAGGTGAATTTTGTACATGTGTACTGTGTACATTCATTATATGTTTATCATGTGCTTGCATTAAGAACCAATTTCGATTAGTAGTTTGAAACAACGTTTTTGTGTGCTCTACGAATTTTGACTTTTGAAACAAATGGATCAAAGAATATGTATGAAAATTACCTTTAAAAATAGAATAAAGTGCTCCAAAGTACTTGAAATGTTGACTGTGGCATTCGGTGAGTCCACTTTGTCTCAAAAAAGTGTTTATAAGTGGTACAAGCGCTTTACAGAAGGCCAAGAAGATGTTGAAAACGATGAGCGTCCTGGAGGTGCGACCACGTCAACAAGCGAAAAAACATCGAAACAGTGAAAAAAATTGGTCTTGAAAATCACTATTTGGGAAGTTGCAGAGGATATTGGCATATCAAATGGCACATGCCATTAAATTTTCTCGAATGTTTTGGGCATGAAACGTGTGCCAGCAAAGTTTGTTCCAGAATTGCTAAATTTTGAGCAAAAGCAATGTCGCATTAGTATCACTTTTTGGCCAAAAACAAAACCGTAATCGTGCCTCAACCAACGTATTCACCAGATTTGGCTCCCTGCGACTTTTTCCTATTCCCAAAACTGAAGAAACCAATGAAAGGAAAACGTTTTGCCACAATTGATGAGATCAAGTCAGAATCGAAGAAAGAGCTGATGACCATACCGAAAAGGGTATTTCAGAAGTGCTTTGAGGATTAAAAAAAGCATTCGCACAAGTGTATTATATCCGAGAGGGTTTACTTTAAAGGGGACAAAATAGATATTGATAAATAAATAAGTCCTTTCAAAAAAAATCCAAAATTCACCTTTTCCTTTGAACATACTTAGTATATCGAATATTAATCAGTTAATTTTGCTAAGATAGCTTACATATTGACGAATATAGGTATATGGCATAAGAACAACTGGAAGTTCGGAAGTTCGAAAATCTTATGTTAGTTATTTAAGAGATAGGAGTAGTATTGACCTGATTTTATCTATTTTTGGCTATACGACATACTATTAACAGAATAAAACGCTCTCTGAGTTTCATTAAAGTACTTCACATACCATCAACAAAATATATGGAGTAAAATCAAACTGGATGTTTGAAAATTCTCTGATTAGTTATATGGGGACTAGGGCAAGTTTTCACCCGGATTTTACTTATTTAGGCACAAAGATACACTGTTATTAGGAAAATACACTCTGAAATTTTTATTGAGATAACTCACATATTAAACGATATATTCTGTATAAAGTCAGACAGAAGTTCGAAAATATGATATGATAATATGAATGATCAGGATGATGAGACGAGTTGGAATCCGAGTTACTGTCTGTCTTTCCGTCTATCCGTCCTTCTGCCCTTCTGTGCAAGCGACCACTTGAGTAAAAATTAAGATATCTTAATAAAACTTGGTACATGTGTTCCTTGAGGGCATAATCGGATAACTGCCTCGCCCACAAAACGCCATTAAGGGAAATCCTATAAATTACCATAACTAACACGCAAATTATAATACAGAACTCAAATTTGATACAACAAATCGCAATAATAAGGAGCACCTGTGGTTAGACAATTTTTAAAAGATTGTTAAATTTTATTTATTTAGATTTAAATTCTAATACGATTAATGCATATATCTTCCAAACAAATACAACTATATCATCTAAATTTTCACAGAGCTAATCTTTTCAATCCTTCTTACGATAGTGTGAAAAAACCTGAAAACGGATGATAACCACGCTGACTCCCCATATAACGGTTTTGTTAACTGCGATAAATCAATAACGAAAAGCGTCAGATTTTTTCACTTTCCAGTACACAAATCAAGCAGCAATTAATATATCGGGATAGAAATTTGCACGAATATTTTGTTTAAGGTATGCCCTCTCAGGTCTAAAAATTGTCGAAATCGGACCATAACTATTCAAGCTCCCAGATACCGGAAATACGGAGCACAGAGCCTATGGCTGACTTTTTGCCGAAAATATCGGTTCATCTGTGAGATATATAATTGAAATTCAGCGAAAATATTTTTTTGATAACAATATACCCTTATGTGAAAAATGGGTTAAATCGGATCAATACTCCCCTTAGCCTCCATATACCTAATATAAAATCTTTCGAACTTTTAGTTGACTTTATAAGACATATATCGACCAATGTGCTAAGTTAGTTTTTGTAATAAAATTGAGGAAGCGTGTTTTTCTAGTAACAGTATATCTTTGTGCCTAAAATAGATAAAATTGGGAGGAAACTCACTCTATATATATTTTTATATTTACATATATAAGAAAATTTCTTGGAAATAAGTTCTGAAGTATACCTGAACATTTATATGCGCCCAATGATTTTAGTATAATTTTCAGTAAAATATAGTAATAAAACTAGTGAGTCTATGACCTTCAAAATAAGTTAATACGGTACCAAATTTGAAGTTGAACCTTTTCGCTACGTTTTGTAATATAAAGTTTTGGCAACACCTGCAGGTATTTCTCCGGCTTTGAACCTTGCAAGTTGAAAGTGTATGAAATGTTTAACTACACACGAACTTAGCCCTTCCTTACTTGTTTTTTATTATTAATTTTTCAATTACATACATATATATATTTTTTAATTTTTTTCCTGCATCATTAATATTGATTAGCATTTTGTTTTGCTAAATTTACAATCGAGTCTTAGTATATTTAATTTCCATTCCACATTTGCATTGACTAAATTGTTTTGTTGTCACCAAATTGATTAAATGTATAACAATGCGTAATAGCAGTTAATATGTTTATTGCACTTTTATTATTAGCTGGTTGTTGTTTTTTTTTTTTTTTTTGTTTCTGATATTGTTATTGCTTTTGCTGGAAAAAGTTCATTTAAGACAGGTGCCACTTCAAACATGAAGTGAGAGCATGGGGAGTTTGCTGCTTAAGTCTTTTGTTGGTTGAAATTAGCAGAAAACGAAGTTTCAATTTCCGAAGCTCATGGAAAAACTTGCAAGAAGAATAGTCTCAATGTTGCCGGACAGACGGCTGGTGGCGGTAGCATTTTCCTTTTGCAATTTACTGTTGGACAAAAGACATCACCTAACCTCCGCGATCGTTGCACCATAACTGCCAGTACTTGTATGGTCGGACCCATCTGTCGAAGTCATCTTAGCATTTATAAAGAGTAATTTCATGATCAGAATCTCTTTACATTTCCCTCAGTTACTGAGTTCTTAATTTCGATGTTAGTTCTAGAAATATTGAATATAAACTATAATAGTTGGTTCTCTAAAGACATATTTTTTCTAGCGCTTAACCCACACTCTTAGTTTAAGCAAACCTTGCTTATATAAACCTATGGCCTCACGTCTTTGTCCTCTAAGGAAAAATTTTTTTGATGATGTGTAGGTTGGTTAAGCTAAAAGTCTCAAAAAGTTCCAGCTGCAAGAACAGAGCTCCGACTATTACATGCTAACTAAGGTCAAGTAGCCTAACGAATGGCTTCCGTAAAGTAAATCGAGTCACCATTGCATTTTAGGTATATTGTACAAAACCCATCAAGCCAAGACCCCGAAATTTATCGAAACCACCAAGAAATCATTTTTTCCTAAAAGATAGAAAGCAAGTATAAACTTTTGAGTAGAAATATTATTCCCGAACGAAATGTCAAATCTAGAAAAAAGATATTCTCAAGAAGAGCTACCTCGAAATTTTATAAAAGGGAAACTCGAGTCATGCTTTTGATAAAAGGAAACGCATGATTGTAACTACCAATGAGTCTTTGAAGAATGACAACCCTCAATCGATTACAAATCCTATTTTAATGATTTACAGGTCACCTAACCTTACTTAGCAACTTTTAACTTCTTACATTTAAACTATGAAATCATACCAATACTTTATTCGAAAAAACATCTAACCTAAAAAATTTATATATTTTAATTTTGTAGGATTTCCTCTTATATTCCGCTCTGGAGATTTTTATATTCGTAAGTATCGTTGAGCATAAAATATAACTTCACTTCAGCACGTTTTCTGCCATCGGTTGAGAGACTGGCAAAAATCGCATATTCGTCCAAGGGGAGTGGCAACCCCTGCAGCATGCCAGTAGGAAATTGTAAATGCTCAATGGCCAACTCATTCTATATATACAAGTCATAAGATATTTTTAGTATAATCATTTTGTAATTGTAATATTTTAAGTATATACTGACATACCCTCATTGGACACCTTTGTGGACTGGTCGAGTGATTGCCGAAGGCGTTAAAAACAATATTGAGAAATGGGTGGTTACGTTTTTCCAAATATTCACACAAGTTCACGGCAACATCGTACAGGAAGGGCTTATAACCGCTAGCCTTTTTCATCAGCTGCAAACGAATCTAAAAATATTGATGAACAGAATAATATTAAAAAAAAACCAAAAAACGTTAACTTCGGTTGCGTCAAAACTACAAGTACCCGTCACAAATGAAAAAGATTGCTTACAAGAACTCGATTTTGATTGGTCAGTTTGTATGGCGGCAATATGCCAAAGTGACTCGATCGACATACACAAAATTTCAGATCGATATCTCAAAAACTGAGGGACTTGTTCTCATATATACAGACAGGCAGACGGACATTTTTAAATCGATGCAGCTCATCCCGCTTATCATTTATCATATATAAACTTTATATAGCCTCCGACTTTTTATAAAAATTTACTAACTTCAATAACTTTCCACATTTTTATCAATTTCATTTTTATATTAAAACAAATACTGACATATTTGCATACATAGAACTTTTAGACAGACAAACTCACTGTCACATTCCGCATCGATTCGTTTAATTGTACGAACTTCAGTGCCACCGACAGCTCGTTGACATTACGCTTCACTGCACGCAGACGACAGAATTCGAATATGGCAAATTTTTCATCGAACGACGAACACTGCACATTCGTGAATTTCTCAATGCAAAGACACTGAAATCATTTTCATTTCGGCTTTTAGTAAAAGTAAGCGTTCTTAACACATATATATATATACATTATATATGTAGATAAAACCTTCCTTACATCGCCAACGAGCTGCAAAAAGCACAACGCCACTACAACAACAGCTCTATTGTACAGCCTCTGCCAGGTGTTGCAGGCACGAGCAGACATCTTCACAGTTGGAACTTCATGTATAAAATACACTAAAATCGAGTTGCGTGGAGTGGACAGCAACAATAGACTACGCAATTATTATTATATAATTACCGTGAAATGGTATTGAATCGTTGCGCAAGATATGATCGCTAGTTAAATAATATTTTTGGCTCTAGCTTTGGATTTGTGTACGTTTGAAGTACATTTAAATATATAAACTACCGTTAATTGCTATGAAAAATGGTAAAAAAAAACGGAATAAAACGCTTGTCTCTTCGTTTTGTTAACTTTAATCTGCTTTTTGATATCATGCAGCAATCTACTGCTGGTTAAAACGATACATCAGGGTAACAAATAAGTGGCCTAACATTACAAACATACAAATTAAGTTGTGTGTATATGTGGTGTGAAGTATTACGAAACTAAGCGCTTAAAACTACTAACACGGCGAAGTACAAAAAGAACTACATAAATATGTGTGCATTTCGTTGATTACTCTAATCACTACCTTCGCCATCATCCGTAGCCTCGTCCTCGTCATCTTCTTCCTCCTCATCACTGGCGCCACTTTCAGAACCTTCACTCTCCTCTTCGCTCTCATCTTCTTTCTTTTTCTTATCTTTGGCGGATTTACTTGACTAAAATAAAAAAAAAATAAATAAAAAAAAAACAAGTTTGATTAAAACAACAAACAAACAAAAACTACACAGCTTACAGTTTTGCTCTTCTTTTTCACTGGCTCCGAATCAGCAGCGCCCGATGCATCCTTCTTATTCTCACCACCAGAAGACGATTCATCATCGGATATGTATTCTTTACTCTTGAAAACGCCAGCGCTGACGGGCGATTTCTTTGTTGGTGACTCCTTCTTGCGCTTCTTAGCTGCTGCGGTCAACTTGCTACCGCTCTCCTCGCTAGCGGTTGGTTTGTAGTCCTTCATTTCGTCTTGATAACGCTGTTTATCCTTAGCTGCCAAATCTTCCCATTTAGATTTATCCTTCAGTTCTTTCCACATTTCGCCACCCTTCTTGGCAACTTCGGTAATTTTGAGGCCAGGATTGTCTTTTCTAATTTGTTCGCGAGTTTCGTTGAGCCAAAGCATGAATGCTGTGGTCGCACGTTTGGGTTTGTTGACGTCTTTTTTGGATTTGGTGGGCTTTTTCTAAACAAAAATAAATAGTAAATTTTTATAATGTTTTCTCATTAACAAAACTTACCACGCGCTCCTTGCGTTCCTTTTTCTCTTTCTTCTCCTTTTTTGGCTTGCTCTTCTTTTCCACGCCCGAGTCGGTGCCAACCCCACCACCGCCTCCACCACTCGCGTCGGAATCTTCGCTATCACTCTGCACATTGCTGTCATACTCTTCGGCCACATCGGATTCTGCCTCGTTTGGTTTGAAATCTTCATCGGTAGACTCCTCTTCCGAGCCTTCTTCATCGTCAGATTCTTTCTCGCGCGCCTCTGCCTTAACACGCGCCAAGTAGGCATCCGGTTCATTCTCATTATCCGAGTCCCCAAAGTCCACATCATTGTAGCCACCCTTGTCTTTGCCAATATTGCTGACGCGCAATTTCTTTTGTTGTATGTAATCGAAGAGCTTGGCATATTCTTCTTTTTCGATGGAGCTGAATATGTGCACAGTACCGTTCTTTAATGTAATCTCAAAATCAAAACTGCGCGTAGAACCGCCACTACGGGCAAAGTTCACCGAAGCGATTTCTTCAAAACGTATGTGTACTGGTGGCTTGTGTATGTAGATGAAGCCACGTTCTAGTGGGTAGAGATAGCCGGCGGCGGCTTTGAAAGAACAACCAATAGCTGCAGTACCAGAGTGACTGTGGAATTACAGAGAATAAATTACTGCATAAATAAAAAAAACTTTAAATAATTAAACTTACCCAATGAAGTTACCAGGTCCGGTAATTTTGCGTCCTATTAACACTTTCATGACTTTACCCATTACTTCATACAATGGACCAGAAAGTTCTTTTTCAATTTTTCCTTCATACTTCTCTTTCAGCTCCTCTTCTGTGAATGGTAGTTCTATAGAAGTCTCCTCTTCCGGCCCGAAGAGTAGCACTAGGAAATGATAACGCGTCTGACCTTGCTTAATTGGCGGATCTAGCGATAGCACGAGAAACATTTGCCTATTATCTTTGTGTGGCAATAAAAAGAGACGCAACACCGAGTCCATTGGTATTTTGTAGTCAAAAGTTTTACCGTGCAATTGGAAGAAGGTTGAGAAAATCTTAATATCGTAGCGACCACGCGGTGTAAGACAATGTATTTCGCGGAAAATAGCAATCGCATCGCCTGATGCCGATATAACCGAGGCTTTGCTCATAACATTATTCTGGAAACTTTCCACCGGATCTTCTTCTGCTGATTCAACAGCAGGTATGTGAAACCGCATTTCCAATAAACCGACTGGTGCATCATCGCTCTGATGAAATTCCAATGTCACCTCGTTTTTACCAGTCATGCATTGAGACACGTGCTGTAGTGGTATTTCAAATATGGTCTTACTATCCTTATCAAAGCTAAGCGCCGAACCAAGAAAACGTGCTGTACCCCAATTCCAACCTTTCACACACATCTCCTTCTCAACCATATCTTGCTTGTAAGCTTTCTTCAGGAATTTTCCCAATTTTTCATTTTCTGAATCCCGAAATCCGGAAAAGCGGTGTAGCCCACCACTTTTGGTGAATATGCGTAAACCCCAAGTGCCGACAAACTTTTGCGAATTAATAAATTCTATGTCGTCTGCAGCAATTTGCTCAACCTTGCCGGTTTTACTGTTTTTGAATATTATGTGTTGATCAGTGAGCTTCAAGCGGCCGGGTGTCTGTAAAATACATGCAAAACAAACAAGAGTGATTATTTATTATTCTCAAAATGTGTTGTATATAAGAATAATGACCGGCATGTGAGGCTACTTACCATCACGCCGCGAACTTCTGATGTTATATCGCTGTATTCGAGTGTATCCGCCATCGTATAAAATATCGAAAGCTGTTATACTTAATATTTTAACAACCAGTTGGAAAATAACTCTATAAAATAACGAAAATACAACTAAACTGCGGAAATGTTGAGTTAAAATGAAATAAACGCCGTTTCACAAAAAATTGTGCGCCTTCTGCCAACAACAAGAAGAAGCAATTATGTTGAGTTCACAATAGAAAATAAAACAAACTTTTTGAAGTCAAAAATAATGAATGAGAATAAATTTTAAATAATAAATGACATAAAATTTTAGAAAAAAATTCGGAAAGTTATTTTCTGAGTTTGTATAAGATGATTAGTACTCACGATATACAGAAAGCAAAGGGTATGCTACAATGCACGCTTTGCTTTCAGTATTTCTCGCTAATATAAATACAACTGATGTTTGGCAAAACGTAAAAAGATGAGAGTTGCCCAATATTTGCAAAAGGGTACATCGAACTTTTCTGTCAAATCAAATGTCTGACGCAAAGCGAAGCAAAAGTTCTATGTTAGTTGGTAAAGTTAAGATTTTGACAATTAGGCAACACCACCCACTGGCCAGAGAACGTATATAAATATAATTATACGTTCTCTGCACCGGCCAAATAAACGTCAATAACCATAACAAATGTGTTTAGCAAACTATATTTCACATTAATTTGCAATATATACGAGAATTAAGTAAAAAAAATATTGTAAACACAACGGCATGGACAGTGTAAGTCATATTTTTTATATACACGCAATATTGAGCTGGATTATTCATTTTATTATTTTTTATAGGAGCTACGTAGCAAAGTAGAATCATGTTGTCGTACAGCCGAGGATTTCACAAAACTATACTACACATCCTTTGATAAGCGACGACATGTAAGTATGCACATATTTCCACCTTTTACACAAGTCGAATACAATTTTTTAAATTTGTAGCAAATGGGTCGTATGTATCTTGATAATGGCTTACTTGTGTGGAATGGTAATGGTTCAAGTGGCAAAGATAATATACAAAAATATCTAATTGATTTACCTACTTCGGAGCATACAATAACCAATTTGGATGCACAACCGATTATTGATGAAGCCGTTGGCGGGCAGTTAACTTATATGATACAAGCCGGTGGTACTGTGCGCTACGCTGATGAAGGCGTGCGACCATTCCAGCAGACGTTTATCATCACCGCACAAGAGGATAAATGGAAAATTGCAAGCGATTGTTATAGACTGCAGGATGGGCTAGCACGTACAGAAAATTAGCTTAAGTAAGAAGAACGACGGTTAGACAATACAAACAGCATATTTTATACAACAGAAAATAAAGAAATACAACACGAAATGTTGGTCACTGATGTTTATTATTTTTGTGTTACATGCTATATCAAAAATCTTAACCTTATCACTTTATCTTCTAGCTTAATTACTCCTCTTTAGCTTTCTTTGCATCGGGTTCACCGGACGATTCTTTGAATATCGGCTTCGGTTGCGTCTTTTTGTACGCTGGCGCTATCCAGTAAGGATTTTCTTCAGCTTCCTTTGCATATTTCAAAATTGCTTCACGTGGATCTTGGTCGTCGTCAACGCGTTTGCTCAGACCCAAATTTCGAATGACATACGAAGAGAGTGTGCCACCTGAGCTAGCAACACGGCCACCTTGTCCGCTGGTGATTGGCAAGTCAGGACGATGCGATTTAATGGGATCCAAACGCTCTTTCTCCATTTTCTTGCGTGATGACTTTGATTTTTCCTGCCTGAACATGGGTAATGCATGTGGTGTAATTATCTGCGATACACCGATCATTTCTGTATGTTTCTTTTTTCGATGTGTCTTGACAACGCACAATTTTGCCCCACGCGAGCTGAGTAGTTCATCATAATAGCATTTGATGACACCATTGCCGCAACCGACAAAAATCTGATTCAGCTTTGGATGCCACATTGCCTTTACGACGTGCGAATCGGTAACCGCGATACGCTTCACTTCTTCAAATGTCTGAGTGTTATAAAAATGCAATTGCGCCTCTTTCGAACCCTTGGGCAAAGATTCACCCGTCACCAGCATTTTATCATCCGGACTGAAGCAACAGTCTGTGGTATCATAACGCGAGAATAGATCAGTCCATGTATGCAGCGGTTCTTTGAACTTACGTAAATCCCACAACTTCATAGTTTCATCATTAGAACGTGTGGCCAGATGCGTACCCAAGTACGAAAATTGTACAGAAGTGATTTCCGAGCCCTTTTGATGGGCGCCACGCAAACAATGTGTCGTATTAACAAACATTTTACGTGTGTCCCACATCTGCACCGAACCATCTACACAAGCAGCGGCGATTAAGGTGGCATCACGATTGAAAATGCACGCCGAAGCGTTGGTACGCAAACCACCCAGCGCTCGTGTCTTAATCACCGTCTTCTGCTCCTTGGACTTTAAACCATGCCAAATACGTAGAGTGCCATCAAGTGCTGCAGTAAGAAATTCTTCACGTGTATACGGATGCCAACAGCCAGAGGTGAGTTGTGCAGTGTGACCCTTTGTGCGCGCCATGTCGCTTATATATTGATCACCCTTAACACATTCCATTTTTTCGAAACCATCACGATCAAGAATTTTCGCTTGTGAATTACCAGACACAACCAGTATCATATCACCAGTAACGGAATAATGTAGTGCTCTTATGGGATAATTCTCACATGGCTGTATGGTACGAAAACTACGCATTCCAGCATCCATACCGGCAAAGTCCCAAAAACACATATCATAGTCGATGGAGCCGGACACAAGACGTGCCCCTGCTGGATCACCTGCAAGCGCTAGTACTGCGCGCGAACCATGCTGCATTTGCACCTCGTGTGTATTTGGTATTTTACGTTCAAGATTATCGTCATCATCCTCCTCATCATCGTCGTCGTCATTATCATCATCACTATCAGTATGTACGTTTTTAGGCTTTCCCCCAGTTTGTTTATTGCCGTCTGCTCCTGTGCTGAGCGCTTCCGGTGGTAAAGGCCCAAACGCAGGCTCATCGTCAGAATCATCATTGCCAACTGGTTTAGGTTCTTCACTTTCGGTACGTGGTTTTGGTGGTGCCACTTCACGCGCTTTTGCTATTTGCTCCTAATAAATTTTGAACGTTATTTTATTTCTCACATATATACGTATGTATACTTTACTTACATTTATATCGAAGACTTTTGCTGTTTTACGCCCAAACCCGCTTATACCCATTATTTCTTTAAGATGTTGACTTTCCATATCTTCAGTCACCTCTTCTACTTGCCGGATGAGTTGTTGCTTGCCCATTTTCTTGAAACCACCGGCATTAGTCGTTGAAGATGAAGCTTCATGCTGGCTTTCCGCAGGTTTCTCCGTTACCCCAGCAGGTTTATTTGGATTAAGATTGATTTTCCCAAAGGAAATTTTATTACGATTCATCTTTAATACACTTTTAAGCTGTGTTCAACATTTGTTATTGATTATTTATTATGGGTGTTCAAATGAATTATTTGCCAACTGTTGTTGGTAATTTTTGACGAAGAGGCAATAAATAAATGAATGGAACGAAAACAGCTGTTTTATATACCGGTTTGATTGGGAATAGTTCACATTTTCTTGTGTTTGTTTTAACCCTTGTGTGGTTATTAAATGACCAAACCAATTTAGAAAAAATAAAAAATTTTTATGCTAACCTTTTGGGTATTTTACATTGTAAAAATTTATAAGCATGAGTTGTTAATATGAAATATTGGCAAACAATTTTGCCTACAAATATACACAAATTTGTTAACAAAATTTTTTTGCGAAATTTCTTTACTCTTCTGCATTAAAAATTTAGTTTTTCTTATAAATGTTGTACCTACATAAATGAGGACTAAACATATTTTATGCTTACAACACTACAATCTAAACAAAAGCCTGGTACGTCGTCATTAAGACTCAGTAGAATCGGTTGGCCAACTTCATAGCACGACATTTCCGTTTAAAAAACTCGTCCTTTGCGGGCATATGCTCGTGATTACGCCAAATACGAAAGTGCTGTATGTCTGCTTCACGCGACGGCATATAAGCGAAAAATGTGTCCCTGGGGTGATTGCATATATGAGGTTTAATTGCCAAGTAAAAAGTACGTGATTGTTCCATAATAGAATCGTTCAATCTTCTGTAATATTCATTACGCAGTCTTTCGGTCTAAAAGAAATATGTTATTATTTGCAAATATTTGCGCGCTCATATGATCGCTTACTCACCTTTTTCATGAGGTAATCTCTGCAATTGTAATTGACATAAACGGCGTTGCCCAGACTTTTGGCAGAGGGCATCAGCACGTCTGCGGTCATCTGTTTCAGTGCACGGAATGTTGGACGTGTTTTGATGTGCATTTTGACCAGCTGCTCCCGCGTATACGATTTGCCATAGCGCGTCTCCATCCACGAAAGTAATGATGGCAGCTTATGTGCGTCGGGCATTGAGGCTAAGACATACTTTGGATTTTTAGCCAAGTAATCGAGCGCACTTTTCAACATACTCTGCATCAATTTCCCATCTTCCGGATCATAGTAGTCCATTTCCACATCTAAAAATGGATATCTGCGTCGATTTTTCTCTAGCTCTTCCTCTGCAGCCATTTCGATATTTTTCGCTGCCACGCCTTCTTTGAACGCTTTCTTCGCGTAAGCTTTTACAGCCTCATCTAGATTTTTTGGCGCATTCGGATCATTCTTATCTAAATTTAAATCGCTATTTATGATTTTTAAGAATTCTTTCTGCACATTTAACCGCGTACTTTCACGTTTCTTGTGTGCGAACACTTTAGGATAGTCGAACATATAAGGCTGATTCTCATCGGGCGCTTTGAAATACGATTCCGTTACGTGTTTTGCCTGCTCGGAATGCCCATAATCGTAGGCTTTCACATATTTGTAACCACAATCGCAAGGCATCTTATGTAAAATGTCGCGTACACTTTGCTTTTTCGACGCATATGGGTTTGTGCATTTGCGCTTGAACTTTGCTGGATCTGTTTTGCATTCCTTACAGCATTTCGCTTTTGCCTGCGCAGTTACAGTCAAACAGTCGCCAATATTTTCCTCTACCCAATTTGTACCCGATTCCGAGGAGCTTGGCATACTGTCGTCACTCTTCGTAGGAGTTGGTTTATGTTCGTGTACGCAACCGTAATCTCGCTGTGTTAGACAAGTTTCACTGTGGCATGTCAACTTAGTCCATCTGCTTTCCATGCCACCACATAAACGATCTGTGGTGTCAAATTCGTTTGAATCACAAACACGAATTTCATCTTGCGAAATTATCTGCATGTGGCTACGAGTGCGACTAGCTAATCGTTTGAATTGTGTCATAAGCTCATTAACGTCCTCTTCAATTTGTTGACGGATGCGTTCAATGCGCTCCTGAATAAAGAAAAATCATTATAGATGTGGTGAAAAATAGAATTCTTAGAGACTTTTGTATCTCTATCTATTTAATACATTGATCACAATATATTCCCCTTAATCGGTTCTTAAAATTGAAGAGAAAATAACATCCGAGATCTGAACTCACTAAATTTTCGACTTCACCGTGCGCAAGCCATACTCACCTCCCGCTTGGGTGTTTCTGTATCGAAATATTTCAAGCATTTTTCTTGCGCTCGCCAACGTAATTCATTTTCGAGATTTCTCTCCATTTCTTCTAATGCTTGATGATGTAAGCATAAGTTCTTTTTCTGCATATCCTTGTGCAAATATGCTTCCGGATTTAAAACATTATGCAATTGTCTATTAAATACATCTTTTATCATAACCGATTGCCTTGGTAATTTGGTTTTGTATATTTGGTGCATTTTATCGGTTAGCATTTCCAAACCGGTCTTCTTGCCGGGATGCAATTGATAATCGGCAAACCAGCGATTGCTCTCATTCGGTATGACATAATTCGAATCCCTAAGCACATCTTCAAACATCAATTTGGTACGATATGTAGGCGGAAATGAGGTCAGCGGATGTTCATAAAGTCGCGGTCGCACCAATTCTTCAAAGTATGGCAGCTTATACTTAATCCGCATGCTATTAATGGTCGTTTTTTCGTTTTCGGTTCCAGCTTCATTTTGGAATTTTAATTTTTGTTTTTCGATTTTCTTCCTCGCAATGCGTCGAATTTCTTCTTTCGTCGGCTGTTTAGGCGGCAGTATGTTATCTAAGCCGCGTAACGTAAATAATATGTCCAGATTAGCGATGCTTGACAGAATTAATTGTTCATTTAGATTGTAATCTGGCCCATCGGTTTTGTAGAATAGTTCTTTAATGAACCACAAAAATGCCAAATCATTGCCGCCGCTCATAAACATTAGAAAACGTATATTAGCACCACTGATGCTCGGTCGTAGGCCAATACGATTCAATAAGTTCCATACGCGATGTGTTGTACCCTGTTCAAGATCATCGCGTATTGCATAATGCAATTGGTGTGTGGCCTCAATTTGAAAGGAAGACAAACCGCGATACCAATGTGGCACATCTTCATTCTTGACGAAGTTCTCGATAATGCGCTGATTGCGTCTTGTCGTATGCGCTTCCAATCTGGTCGCACGTTTCGCACCAGAGAACATATTGCACGAAATTTAAAACAATTTAGTTTTACAAAACAATTTCTTTAACAATGAAAAATCAATTTATAATAAAATAATAAAATGCTAAATTTATTTACATAAATTCAATAAATTTTTAGCGAAAATTAGAATTTCTAATAGCGCACACAAATTTGGACAAAAGTTATTTTCGACAATTATACAAATTCTTGAAAGAACTAAAAATCTATTCAAAATTTTATTTGACAATACAACTTTTTTCTATTATTGACAAACTAATATTTCGAGTAAAAGCAGAGAACGTATAATATACGTTCTCTGGCAAAAGTATTGAGGTTGTCAATAAAGTTTTTCAAAATACACACCTAAGGATTAAGCATAGAGCGGTTTTTAACCTATTTTCATCACAAAACTTAATAATTTAAGCATAATATTTGCACTGTAGAGTTTAAACTAACTTTTTATTAATTGTTTTTGTATTACAATTCCTTTTTACCGATATTTTTCTATTGCAACGGCCGCACTGTAGGCGTAACGGTTCTTGCCGACATTTTCGAAGCTGTCAAGACTGCAGTAATATAGTCAATTTAATGGTTTATTTTATATTAAATAATTGGGAACAAGAAACTACTGATGGGTTCACCAATACACTCTTGTTTGTTATGTCAGTACTGACGGTTATATCCGGACGATTTATTTCCGGATAAATAAATTGTCCGTCACTGTTATTGTTAAAAAGATACCCTTTCGATTTATATTGCTTACCATAGCTTTACGTATATTAGAATGGAAAAGCTGCATTATTTTGTACTGTCACCACTGACATTCAAATGAGCAGTAAAATGACTGTCCATGTTTACGATTTTTCCAAAAGAAAATGTCGAAAAGAGACAGCATACATTTTCACAGAAGTTTCGAGAAGTTCGGAAATACCCATGTAGCTGCTATTCCGTGCGATAAATCAAAAGTGTTGCGTGCTCCTGTGCAATAACTCTTTTTGTTTAAAACGAAAAAAGAAAAAATAAATAACGAAGGAGTTTTCAAATATAATATACGTAAGTTATTATTAAGTTTCATATAAAATTATATTTTTAATTAATTTTAATTTTTATTTAGGCATTTTTAAATTTCGATATATCCATGAACTGGAAAAACATGTACAGCAGAACTTTTTGTAGCAGAGCAAGCATTGAATCTAGGAAAATTTCTTTTGATAATTTATTTATTATTTAATTATATTTTTGTTGCACTCCTTTTTTATATTTATGTACTCGTATAATATTATAACTAATTTTAATTAAAAGTTTTGAATTTATTAAAGAAATAAAAATTGTATTATATACTGCGCAAAAGAATGTTTCACTTGTGATAGTTTTACAGTCATAACTGGCAAATTGTAGCTTTGATGGATTTATGATCAGCAATGACTTAGGAAAAGGCATGAGAGTGAGCAATATAGATATATAGAGAATCAATACTAAATATCCGTGTGTTAAAGGGGGATGCAAAATTACACACATGCATTTGTTTACATCAGTTTTTGCATAAGGCCTTTAAGAATATGATAGAAACTTTGTTCTGCGCACTGAATATTTTCAGCTGTGACTGTCATATTTCAGGTCAGATGACTGTCACTGGTCTTGTAGGGAAGTAACATGCAACGAATGAATTGTGTCAAGTGATTATTGAATATATTATGTTTACTGGCAGCGTTTTTAAGGCAAGACGGCCCATGCCTATAATTACATAAAAATATCAGTTGAGGATACGTTAAGTACACATGGAATTACATATTTGAAAAGGAAGAAGTTAATAAATAAGTAAAATATTTGAAGAGTTGTAGTTTATTTAGTTTTATATTCAATAATTGTGTAAAAAAAGCATGGAGGTTATAATATTATAAACTAGTTTGCAATGTTAAATAATGAAGAAGGAAATATTAAATGAAGTGTGTGATGAATGCAATTTGTGAAACCGCTAGCTCATAAAAACATGTTCATACATAATATGAATATGCATGCATGCATAAAGGGAAAATTATTGTAGTAAATAAGAATTTGTGAACTTTCATACAGAAACTAAAGTGATATTTATATTAAGAGCTAAGTTGTGTACATATTTTTAACGAAATATTAAAAAGCAACATTTAACATAATTTCTCAGAAATAAAATTTGTAAGTTCATGCATACATTAGAATGTTATAATGTAAACAGTTGTTAACACTTGATATAAAGCTGAGTCCACCCTAAATTCCTATTAAATGAGTAAGCGCAAGGTCAGAATATGAAAAAAGATTACATATTAAAATTTATTTACTAAAATAATTATATTAAATTAATTTAAATCAATAATTACACCTTTATCACAAACAAACGAAATATTAAAATTGAACCACAACATCTTTGCCGCAAAACCCATAAATTTTTAACACAACTTCATCACCAAATTACATATGTGGGTTTATACTTCAAATGCATTAAAGAACTTGGTTTCACTAACCAAATTTTTTAAAGCTCTTGCAGTCCTTTAACATTGTTATCTGATATCTAGAGTTAGTACACCCAATTGCTTTAAAGAACTTAGTTTTGCCAACAAAATTTTTCAAAGCAGTTGCAGTCCTTTAACATTATAAACTGTCATAAAGGTAGAAGTAATTTGTTTCACTGTGGCATCCTCAATTACTAAATACAAATAGCACTTCTGAAGTTCGGCTATTGTCCAGGAAATTTTGTAGATTTTGCCCATCTTGGCTTACAGTCGCGCGGGCTCCACACCCGAAAGTGCTGTATGTCATTGGGACGTGAGGGTAAATAAGCGAAAATTGTTTTATTTGGTGATCGTCCAGCGTATACGTATGGTGTCATGGCTATGTAGAGGTGACGAGACTGGTCCATAATTGCCTTGTCTACACGTTTATAAAACAAGTCCTTTATGCGATCACACTGAAAAATAGGAAAAAAAAACTTGTAAACAAGTCTAAAAGGTTATATTTATGAAGTTTTTTCGTCGTCTGGTTTTTGTAAAAAATAGATCATTATTTTCCTAAAACACCTATAGTCCTATTGTTATTATAAAATTTGGAAACCATTTGGATCCTAACAAAAGTTATAGGAAACCCAATCTACTGATATTTAAAATTTTGCAAACATTTTTAGGATTCGGTCATACAAATTTGTGATCATTAACTCCTTCTTAGACTAAAATGCCCTGCTCTCATAATATCTTTCCGTTCTGGTTACTAATAGATAATAAATTTTATCTAATGATTTTTATTCTTATAATACACGAAATTTCAAAGCATTTTCTAACAAACCTCATTTACTTATACCATATACATACATATGCTGGTAAATAAATACAGTGAGTTTTATACTCACCTTTCTCATTAGATAACTATGACAACTATAGTCAATAAATACTGCTCGCCCAAGATCCGTTGGAGATGGCAATGCTTCGTGGATCTGAATTTGAAGCAGCGCACGAAAGAGTAGTGTCGATGATTTGAAAATCTCGATCAGTTCCTTTTGGGTGTAGACTTTGCCATAGCGCTGATATATCCAATAGCGTAAAATTGGTAATTTATGCGCATCGGGTAGTGCTGCTAAGACATATCTAGTATCTTTAGCCAATCTTTCAATTCCCTCCTTCAACATTTGATGCATTAATGCCTTATTATTCGGATCATAATATGTATTTGCCTTCGCACTTGGTAATAATGGTACGGTATCATATTCTACATTTGTACGGCTTTTTCTAAAAGTGTTTTCCATTGTCTTCATAGTACAGTTTTTAATTGCCTCATCTATATTTTCTCTAGATTCAGCATGGTGATTCTTTAGGCACTCCTCACTTCTAATTGCCGCTACACAGGTTTTCTTTATATTTATAGCATCTTCTTGTTCGAAAGCTATATCAAAAATCTTTTGATAATCGAATTTAAATGGAGAATGCTTGTGCGGTGCATTAAAGAATGCTTTCGTTTCACTACTTGTGTCTGAGTGCCCATAATCGTAGTTTTGCATGTAATCGTAGTTACTATCACAGTTATAAACTTTTGGTTTGCACACATTACGACAACCACAGTGTGCATTCGTCAGTGAGGACTTTCTACTCTGCGTTTTGTGATTTCCCAAATGATTGTTGCGTAAGCAATCTCCAATTATTTCAGGTTCAGTGACATTTCTTAAATTTTTTGTACGAATTTTATTTTCACTCTTCGCACTTAACGTTTTTTTCTGTGTACTGTTACAGATCTTCGGTTTCAACCCAAAATTACAATCGCTTTGTGTTTGTGTGGAATGACATTGTAGCTTTTGACTCATGCATAAATTACAAGATTCCTTTTCGATATTATTCGCATCATTGCTTAAATTGCAAACATGTAGATCATTCTTGTCCCATAAAAGCAGTTGACTCCGTGATTTGTCAGCCAATTGACGGAATCGCAACAAATGCAGATTCACATCGTTCTCAATCTGTCTGCGCAGGCGAGCGACGCGTTTCTGTGGAGAGAAAAAGAGGAAATTAGACCTAATCAGAGATCGCATTACTTGGACCTTTCCATTATTTGATCGATTTTTTCGATAAATGGTCTTCCAATGCTTGACGCATCTTTGACATCGAAATTACCGAACGGAATCGACAAAACCAAAATTGCGCATGATTGACTGTTACAGTATCAGGACTATAAACGCTATCTACATTTTCAGCCGCCTGATTTGCGTTTTCGCCCCTTTTGAAGAAAAACTGTAAAATATAGCGTACTTTCTCTTTGCTAGTGTACAACTTTGACAGACGCTGAAACAAAACTAAATCAACTAATCACAAAACTGTCAGAAAAACTTTTTTAGTACAAAATGTCATCTTCTTAACGCCATTTAGCCGAACCCGATCGGAATAATACAACGCGAGACACAGATAAATAACGCCATCTATTGAAAAAATAATGGATTTTTTTTTAATACACCCTAAGAATACAATGTAAAAAAATTTAGAATGAAAATCGAAATTTTGACGAAGTTATAGCACCCATACCTGCGTCTCGTAGTACTTCGAAAGCGCATTTTTCTCGAAGCAACGTTCTTATAAACCTATTGGGCTGAAATTTGAATCTACTTGAAAAAATCTCACTTTTTTCGAAGTCAACCAAAACTCTGAGATACTATAAGTATAATGTTAATAATATATTACAAAATGAAACTAATTGA